GTTTATTCCCAAAAAATGTATCTGCCTTTTTGGTAAATACAAGATACTCTTCTACATGCTGGATTATTGAAATATTTTTGTTCTTTTTTCGCTTCGTGCGAATGTGTGTAATCAGCAATTAAGGTTTATTGCCTTTAAAGTGCTGGCATTTGCCGCCATTCCGTTGACACTGCCATTTCCTGGCAACCCCAAGTGCCACTGGATGGGAGGATTTTTGCAGGACGAGAATGCTGCATTGTACTAATGATCACCAAGGGACGATCATCGGCAGTGGCAGTGGCAGTGGCCTGACCTCATGCACTTTTTGTTAATCAAGTTGCAAATTGGCCAATAAGCCGCAAAGAGCCGCCAGGACACGTCCTTAAAAGCCATTGGCCAGCAATTTTGCGGTTGGCTAGAGTCCAAAATGCAAATGGCGGCCAAAGCCAAAGCCAAAACTAAAAGCAAAACGAAAATCAAAATCAAAACGAGAAACGGAAACATAAAACCCAAAAAGTAGAAGGGCTTTCCAAGTCAAGTGGCATAAGGATCCCTGAAGTGTGGCAGCATTTTCGTAATTATATATGCAGCCATCTCCTAAGAGGCTTCTCTTTTTTTTAAGAATAAATAAAGTGAGTTGGCCTTAAACTTTTAAAATATATGCATTTAAATTATCAGAATTATTTATACTTGTAAATTGTATAGATATTAACTTAGCTCCATTTTAAACTTACGAAATTATAAAGGAAAGAGGGTAAAGTTAATATTTCTTAGAGCTGGAACGATAATATTTATTTATAGCTTTGTTAATAGTATTTATTTTGTTTATTATCTGAATTTCATAGTGATTAATTATATGAAATCGGTCGAATAAGTCACAATAATATTATCCCCATCATATCGACTGTATCTTATCTCTAGTACCTGTGGCACTTCCCATAAAATATCATATAAATACTCTCCCATTGCCATATTCATTTACATTTCCATTCAATTTACCTGCAACGAGTGCGGAAAAAGGTGAAACCAATGAGTGAATCATAAATCACACATTTAATCATTCAATTTCTGGTGGAACCAAAAACTTTCCCGGAGAATTTTTGCCACTGAGATGAGGGGGGAAAAAGCCAGCCAACCGTATGAAAATCGTGTGTCTTTTGTGTGTGTTTGATGTTGAGATTCGTGTCATCGCAGCTGGAATTTGTTGCCCCTTACGGTGGGGCAGAGAGAGAAATTTGGTTCACTAAAGTCCTTAAAATTATTGAGTTATTTATAAGAAAGTATCTAAAGTGGAACTTGGTTGCAATTGAGCTTAGTATTTACTCTTCACAAGGGAAAAATGATTTATTTCACAGATTTATTTGCTTCTTAATTTGTTTTCTGAATCCATTTAGTTGCAAGTCCCTTATATTTCCAGTGTATTTACATCTCTGGGCTGGGACTTGCTACTGTCTGGCGACATGTCGCTTGGGGCATCATAATCACTTTGCACAGGCCCAGTGTCAGTGGCATACATCTTGGGGCCCGGGAAAACTTTTTCCCTCTTCTCTCGCTGGCAGCTGTCGCGGCTTTCCCGCTTTGCAAATGAAGTGCTAAATTATGCTAAATGTGAGCCAAAATGTGATTTGAATGTGCGGAACACCAGGGCCATGGCCCTTGGCCTTCAACTACGCTACCTGTATTATATACTTGCATAAATATGTATATATATATATATCTATATCGTGTGCTTTTGTTGGTCTGGGCCAAAAAAGGATTGGCAGTCGATGATGATAATCGGAGGAGAGTATGGCATGGGACATGGCTCTCCTTCCAATCTATGGCCGTCATCATTTAAGGGACTGCCTTTTTGCATTACACTTTTCCTTATCCTTGTCGCGAACAGACTTCTGTTCTGCCATGTCGTATGAAAACAAATTACTTTCAAGCGAGTAATCTTTGGGGCAAGTCAAGGGAAAGTCGCTGGGAAAATCCATGGAAAAATATCGGGAGGGAGAGGGGAGGAAAAAGGCATTGAAAATGGCGCTGCGAGCGAGTTTCGCTTGCGTCATTGCTTCAATTACAGCAACAGTCGGCTCGGCGTACGCAATAGATTCTGAGATTTTTTTTTTTCTTTTGAGGAAAGCTCCGGAATTCCCCCCCCCCCCCAAAAAAAAAAAACAGAAAAAAAGAAAAGAAAATAGAGTATGCAATGCAGGCGTCGTTGCCATTCCCCAAAAGGACCAACGGAAATTGAAAGGTTCCGTCGTAAAGCAACCACCAACTGTCCCCGTTTCCTTTGAGAAAATGCCACCCACTTCCTGTCTCTCCCTGTGTGTGTGTGTGACGAAAGTTGCGCCAAAAAATTATTTCCCCATTATTATTGGTAACAAAAAATAAATGTTTATATATATATCGAGGAAATTGAGTTGGGAAATTCTATAATTTCCATTAAATACAGCCAGGACTGCCTTTTATATGTCGGACAATAGAAAAACATAACTCAAACAATTAAATAAACATTTAATTGTAATTCTTCATTAAATATTTGTGCATGAAATTTTTATTGCGAATGTAAAAGGTTTCTTAATTAAACAAAAAGCCATTCATCTTATAAAATTTTGTAAAAATAAAAATGCTTGAAGGCAAATTGTCAAAGTTCTTTGTGAGTGCGAAATTGCGGCATTAAAATGCAAGTGAAAGTGATAGTGAAAGTTATAGAGAATGTAACGAAAAAAGCCGACACAAATCGTGCAAATGAGAATAAAAGTGTGCAGTTTGCATATTTATTAGACAAATGACAAGAAATGAAATTGAATTTGAAATTGAAATTGTATACCAGGACATGCCCTGAGCAGAGAGAAAACTAAAATTTATATATAATATACATAATTGATTGAGGCTTGAAATGATTCATCATTGAACTTTCACCGCCTCTTTCTCTCTTTCCCTCGTCAGCAGAAAATTCGCACAGTGCACTGAATGATTTTGCTATTTTGTTGCCTTTGCTTTTCCTATTTTCCTCGACTTTGTCTAGCTTTTCCCCAGCTTTCCCCATTCCTTTTCCCCCATCTCTATGCCCATTTTCACCCCAGCTAAGTGAATGAAAACGAAACTTTAATTGAAACGAACGTTTGGTGTGCGTTTTTGGGTTAAGTGATTGATTATGTCTTGTTTGCCATTGTACATGTATACGTGCACATGGCTACACTGAGCGAAATAGGGGGAATATTCAATTAAAGGTTTATAAAATGATAAATTTTCTGATCTTCGTAAGATCGTTTCTCTGTGAAAAAATAAATGATTGGCAAATAGCGTAACATTCTCCAATTCGTCTTAAAAATCTTAATTAATTAAAACTAAAATAAAATCCTAACAAAATTTTTGAATATATTTTACAAAAGGGGTTCAATCGTTAAAAATGTCGTAAATTCGACTTTTGTACCATTTTACATCGAGTATGCAGATTTATTAACCTTAAGAAAACCAACATAGGACAGCTTTCCCAACTAAAATTAATGCATTTTTGGCTTAGTAGTGAGTTTTTTAAACATTGATTTGTTGAAAAAATTGTCATATAAAAATATCGAAATTCGACTTATAAACGATATTTTAATTTTAGTCAGAAGCTCGAAACGAAGTGAAGGAGTCATTTCCGACCCTATAAATCATATATATTCTTGATCAGCATCAACAGGCTAATCTTTCTAGGCATATAGTAAGGATACAAAATTTTGCACAATTTTTTTGAAATTTTATAAGGGGTTATATTATTAAAATTGAATAAAATTGAATTTATTAAATCTTAAAAAGTAATAAGCTGATTTTTAAAGCAACTTAAAACTAATACAGAAAAGTTTCCCTTTTGAAATTTATGCATTTTTGGCTTAGTTATGAGTTTTTTAAAGCCTTCGATTTCGCCACAAAAAACTATATAAATATATATATATATTTTTTTTTTGTGACAGTGTACGCACACATAAATTTTTTGGCCGTCTGTATTATTGTTATTGTTATGCTGCTCCTGCTCCTGGGCGTGGCACTTACACACACACACACATCCTGCGAAAATTGAATTGGTGTGTGTGGTGTGTGTGTGTTTACGGGGCGTGTGTGTGGCAGAGTGTCTGCCGCAAACTTTTCCGGCTACGAGTTACAATTCATTCAGACAAAAAGTTCGCTACAATAAAAGCGAATCGCGCGCGAAATCGAATCAATAATTTAATGCAGGCTTCACCTCCATGTCCCTTTTGATATGTGTCTCTATCTATATATATATATATATATATAATATATATATATGAGTGTGTATATGCTATATAGCATATATCGGCGTCGTCCAATGCCTTTGTCCAAGCTTGACGTACATAATAATAATGTCTCCTGCCATCGGTCTGGGCTTGTTTGCCGCTTGTTAAGCTCCCCGCACTTTCCCCATTCTCCCCTGGCTACTTTTCCCTCCCCCCGATTTTCCTCGTTTTTTTTTTGTCTTGGCCACTTTTTCCCCTCGCATTTTCCTTGCTTTTTGGCCACTTTTCTCGATACCTGAGCAGCTTAATCTGGCTGAAAAGTTGTGCGGAGGATTTGGTTTTATCTTGGAAACAGGCTTGTGATATTTTTGTGTGATATCTTTTTGAAATATTTGAAATACCTAAGCTAGTTTTAGTTGCTATATTATTTGTGGTTTGCTGCTATCAGCAATAACCTGATGGCACTCGATCTGTGCCTTCTTATCAGCTTCTTGTACTTGCCTCCGATATGAATAATTCGTTAGAATGTTTAATTAATTAATTTGGCAATAATTGTTTGTAAAATCAAATAGAAAGTAGCAACTCCGATAGATATTATCTCAAAAGAAGACAGAGGAACTTATGATAAGATCTGCTCGAAGCGGCGGCCTCGTTAGTTCCGTGATACTACCTGAACAATCACTATTTGTATATCTGTATATTCTGATACTCTGCACTTAGTGGAATTGTGAATTGTTTAAGTAGTTTGAACAGAAAAGTGTTTTCGTTTAGTTGACGCCCTGCTGGCGATTCGTAATGATGGTTTGTAGTAGACTGCGCTCTTTGAGAACGACCCTTTGCGTTTGTATCCTGGGCAGCCTCTTCCTAGTGCTGCTCTTTCGATTAGTAGAACCTCCGCTACAGGATGACCATAAAGGTATGGAGCTTCTAAAGACCTGGTATAGTCCCACAAATCTCTCAATCTCTTACTCAATCTTAGCCCTCATTGAGGAGACAAGGAAGTGGCGAGCGGAACTAGATCTCCTTCAGCAGCAGAGACAATTAAATTTGGAAAAGGAAAAGCAGCCGCCTGAACCTAAACCGGAACCAGAAATGGATCTAGAGGCTTTATTGCGCAGTAACGAGGAAGAAAACTGGGCTCATGGACGGGAGTGTGCCCCATATCCTCGCTACGAGAACTTGGAGTTCCATAGTCCATACTTTCAGAAGGTGCAACATGAGAATATTACGTACTATCTCTACGGAGCCTACTACGATCGCCGTCCCAGGGTGGCCGAATTGATGATCCTGGCCATGATAACCACCTGTACAGACTCATATCCGCAAATGTATTGCCAAATGTGGTTCGAGGGTGAAACGCAGCCGGAACTAGTGCCAGTGTATGAAACAAAATTGGCCTGGTATCCCCAATGGGGTCAGGGCGATGGTGTACCCTTTCCCACACTGCTCACCTTCCAGATGCAATCGTCGCGGCAACCGCAGTTGGTGTCCTTGGTCTTTGGCGATGGCTGTGCAGTGCCGCAGAATGCATTGAAGGTAATCCAGCCGCCAGTGTTGGAGCAGGAGGAGAGAAAGGCCCAGCCGCACCTCCGGACGGGAGTTTGCGTTAAATATCTACGCTTCCCCGATGTGGATATATCCGAGCGACTGGTGGAGTGGCTGGAACTGATGCGTCTGCTAGGAGCGGGAAGGATACGGGCCTATGATATTGATCAGTTGCATCCGAATGTCTCGAGGACCCTGGCACACTACACCCGTCCCGAGGATGGACTCCTGGAGCTGCGTCCCTATCAATTGTTGATGCCCCCGCTGGAGGGGAAACAGGACCTATTGCGGATGCTGAACGAGGTGGTGCTCTACAATGACTGCTTGTACCGGAGCCTCTACGAGTTCGACTATGTGGCCGTAGTGGATGTGGATGAAGTGATCATGCCACTGGGTCGCCTTCGCACCTGGCCAGATCTTCTTGAGGAACTCGAGGCTGCCGATGTCAACTGTTCGGCTCGTTGTGGCTACTGCTTTAGCAATGTATACTTTCCCAAGGAACTGGCACCGGATCCGAAAATGGAGTCTTGCTTTTACATGCTGGCCCATGTGACCCGGGTGGCTGAGCATTTGGATCCGGGACTGGCGACCAAGTGTCTGCACAACACAGCCTATGCCACGGTGATGCACAATCACTTTGCCATCCAGTGGCGAGAGTCCTGTGGGCCGCAGCACGTCGACGTGGAGGTGGGTCAGATGCAGCATTATCGGCACGTGGATATACCAGAGACGCTGGTGAATCCGCCACCGAAGCTGGACGATAATATAAGGCGTTTCCAAAAGCAGCTCATCCGAAATGTTCGGGCTGTGCATCGCCAGCTGGGCTGGCCAGGAGCCACGTGACCCGGAGGGGAGTAGGTTCTCCTGTATTTTAATTGCTTTCTCAGCCGTACTTTCTCTCTTCTAAGAGGCTTAAGTGGGCGGGACTCCCGGGAGTACGCCCATCCTCCTGGATTTTATTGATAAGCTATGAATATTCCTGGCTAGATTTAGCCACCATTAATTATATTTTTTTTCCTACATGTGTTTATTTCGATGAGAGGCGGAGAATATTATACAATACATTTACAAGAAAATTAAGGGAGATAACAAAAGGAGGTAGCGGAAAAATCGGAAATTATTTAGGACAGGTCTAGGTTGCTTTTGGAAATAAAAAACGGGAAATAATCTTGCTCAGGATTGTGAACTTTTATGCATCGAATTTCTAATACGAAAAACAATTTATATAAGTATTATATATGAATTATTTCAATGGTATACTAAATTATATATTGCTTTTTTCATATTTCTATTTAAAATTACATAAAGAACCCCTTATCTCTTCCTCTTTTTTTTTTTGTAAATTCCAAGGGAAATTCTATGGCGCTATGCATCTTTTACCTTTGCTCCACTCCATTTTCACAAAATATTTGCACAAATATATATATATTTATATTTTATTGTGTTCTAATTGTCTGTAAAATGTCTTTCTCAGTTTTAATTTCCTTTTAGCAAATTCCCTACAAGCCGCAAGGAGAACGCATTCATTCATATCAATTTGTGAGTGTCCTTTTGTCGTTTTATTATCCCTGGGCCAAAAAATTTAATTTGATGTACATTGCATTGCATTTCTTTGAATGGAAAACACAGGAATTTATGGATGCGTAGCAAAGGAAGGACTGCAGAGACACCTGAAAGCCACATTTTAATTAGTGACAAGTGAATGGGATTTTTGCAAAACATTTCCAAAAGCCTGCATTGAAAGAGGTTTTAGCTTATTTTCTTGATGATTTATGTTTTTTGGGCAGTGGAAAAATGTCACTATTTTTTAAATGGTAACAAAGAAGTCTCGAAAAGGCACAAATAATTCCAACTGTATGCCTGATTTATACATTTTTGGATTTTCTAATTCAAAAATATACCCAAAGACTTCAGGAGCCCAAGTTTCACTTCGATTTATGTCTGATTACAAGGCTGTGTTTTTAATTAGTGACGAGTAAAGGTGATAGGAAAAGCCTTAATCCCTATGGATTTTAGCCCGAGTCTTGCTCACTGGATTTTTCAATTCGAAAAATGCATTCGAACTTGCCCTCGAAGGCAGCTTTGATGGTTAGTCTGCAAAAATTGCTCATACGCCTCGTTGCCCTTTCGTTTTTCGATAGACTCTGGATCTTTATAACCTTGCAAAGGATATTCTTGCTATTTTCGATAAGAGTTTGTGATCTTGTTTCTTGCCATGTCCAAATATTAATTAAAAATAAAAAGAGTTTTATACTAATTAATCGATATGATAGCCGGGCGCAATTTTTCACTTCAGCTGTGCCTTGTCTTGGCCATAAAATAGCTTTGGGTCATTAATGGCTATTACAACTCCATTTATTAAAAGCCGCACAATGCTGTCTCGCTGGCAAAATTAAAATCATTTTTCACCAAACAAATGAGACACAAAAATGCGTGCTAGAACATATTAAAATATTGCAAAAAAACATAAAGGAAATGGAAACAGAAGAAACAAAAATGGTAGAAGCAGAGCCACCCCCCCACCAAACTCTCTCTGACAAATGAACGTAAAAAGTGCGCGACAATTTTGTTGTTCTGCGGGGCTTTTGAATTTATTATGGCCATGGAATATCTATATATATATACGGGTATATATATATAGATATATATGTGTATATAGAGAGAATGGCCAATACCCCGAAATGTGGCAAGGCAAAGTGACAAATTGATGGTCTGCCTGGCTTTTTACGGCTCTTTTCTTCTTCCCCATCGTCATCTATTCTTGGGCAATATTCTCAAACAATTATCGCGCTAATAATGCATATTAAAATGTAAATGCCCTGGCCAGGTGGGCGTGGTATTCATGGCTAAATTTATGACCAGGCAGAAGATGACAAAGCAATGAATAATAGAAGCTAGATATATTCTATAGTCCCCAAATTGGATCTTTATATAGGCATTCCTCTCTGCAGGCAATTAATTATTTATTTTGAGAGCTTAAAGACAAGGCCTAATCTATAATATTTAAATTTTGTACCAGAGTCCTTCAAGGATATCATTCGCTTGCCGCTAATGGCCCAACTTCCAACTTCCCAGCATCCTGGCAACAGTCACGCGCCCACAGGAGGCTGATGATAATTCGAGACCCTTGAACTGACTTTTCAACTGGGAAACGGATTTGGATTCAGATTCGGATTCGGATTCGCCTTTGCCTTTGGCAGCATATCCTATAGGATTTCATAAATTTAATTGTCACGTACACACATGGATCTAAGATGGCATATAATACGTGTTTATAACTCTGCTGGCGCAATTTCGGGCCATAAACGTGTGCTGCGTGACCTACGTGGCGTATACTTAACGTCGCGGCAGAGCTAAATGATTTATTTAGTGTATTTATTTAATCTATTTGATGACCAGACTCCCTCACTCTCGTTCTCGTCGAGAAATAGTAATAGAAAAGGGGATAATAACCCGACTCTAAGGTCCTTGCAGTTTCTGTTCATTAAATATTATTTTAAATGTTGTTTTTCGGAGTCGGCTTAGCAAAAGGATTTCCCTTCCATTTATGGCAGTCTGCATAATTTATATATTCCGCCCGCTCTCCCTTGTCCCCTTTGACTATTATTGATTGGCAAGCAGGAGCAATTACGGAAACCCATAAAAACACCAACATGAATGAATTATTCAGAGCTCAATCCGAGAACTCGTGAACTTAACAACTTTAAATAGTATTTCTGTGAGCGAGCAAAGGCTCTAAGACAATCAAAACAAATGATAAACCTAAGGGAAGAAATAATAAAAATATATAAATAAGTAAAGAATAATAATCAAATAATTAGTAATAATAATAATTAGAATAATTAGAAATTAAATAATTTAAAGTATTTAAAAATTAAGTACCTAGAATGAATTGGTTATACGGGGTATTATAATGTTAGTCCAAAGCATAAAACGCGGTTAAGGAATCATTTCCGAAATCATATATATTCTTGATCAGCATTAACAGGGGAATCTATCTAGGCATTTAGTAGAGAAACAAAATTTTTGAAAATTTTTTTTCGAAATCTTATAAGGGGTAACATCATTAAAATTGTCAAAAATTGATAAAAATTTGAATTATTTACTATTTTAAACCGAGTATGCAGATTTATTAACCTTAAAAAAAACAACAACATAGGACAGCTTTTCGAATTAAAATTAAAGCATTTTTGGCTAAGTTATGAGTTTTTTAAACTTTGATTTTGTCCCAAAAGTCACAAAAGTTGTCATATAAAAATATAAATAAAAATCGGGTAAAAAATTGTATTATAATTTTAGTCAGAAGCCTCAAACGCTGTGAAGGAGTCACTTTCGACCCTATAAACTATATACATTCTTGATCAGCATCAACAGGGGAATCTATCTAGGCATGTAGTAAAGAAACAAAATTTTGAAAATTTTTGTCGAAATTTTATAAGGGGTTACATCGTTAAAATTGTGAAAAATTTGAATTTTTTAACATTTTAAATTGAGTATGCAGATTTATTAACCTATTAAAAACTAACATACGAGAGTTTTCCGATTGAAAATTAATGCACGTTTGACCAAGTTATGTTGGATTTTCACTGCAAGGGTATAGGAATTTCGGTTAGTTTTTGTCTTGTTTAATATTAACTGAAATAGTTTTTCATTTCTATGGAATTTTCCACTCGATATACTTTCCCATTGGAAATTGTCTTGCTTTCCCCTCACACATCTTTCCCCCTTTTTTGTCTCTGTGTAATTGAGGCGGCAAGGGAGGCGTGGCTCCTTAGAAGAGCAAGTGCAGCACTCGCTTTCGAATGTGACACGCATCGAATCACTTTACTCAAGTGCGCACTCAATGTCGCTTCGAATGAGCGCAGCTGAGCATTAATACAGGACAAGGAGGAGGAGCTAGAGCAGGAGCAGGAGCTGGACAAAGAGCAGGACAAGGAGCAGGATATGGAGCAGGAGCAGAACCAGGAGATGGAGCTGGAAAGGGAAAGGAGGAAGCGGATGTGCGATGCGTGTCAAGTTCTCAGTCAGTCGGCTTTTTGCAGTCTCTTGGCTAAACCATTTGCTAATCATCATTGGTTGTCTTTCTTTTAATTTAAACAATAATTAAGTCCAACAAGGAATCTCTATCTCTCTAAAAAAAATGATTATACTAAATAAAATTCAACATATATTAATTGAAATATCCTATTAAAAGCATATTTCAGAACTTCTAAGAAGCATTTATTTAAAAAAAAAGCAATTGCTTGCAAAATTGCATTGAAAAATATGGCCTCAAGTTCTTTGTGAGCTCCTTTAATTAACTTATTTTTCGAAATAACCCTTTAAAATCGTAATTATTTAATAACAAAATGTTATGGCTTCTATTTGATGTCGAATAAGAAGTCATGCCTTGATTCTGTGATTCGTAAGAAATTGCGCATGAAATCGGCGTAGGAATTAAGTCCAGAACGGGACATAAAATATTGCCAGGACTTTGGCACCACCATCATCATCATCATTATCATCTTCGAAGGACATCATACGAAGAGGAGCAATAATATTTAACTGGCCGAAATGGCCTCGATTCGTTTATTTCGGCAATATTGTAATTAAAATGGACGCCAAACGGGCCAAAAGCCAAAGCCAAAAGCCCAGGCTTGGCCCCGAAAAGTTTCGTAATAAAAATCCAGTTAATAAACTTTGCATTCCAACTGCGACTGAGTGAATATATACAGATATATGTTATATATTATATACAAACGCATGTGAAAGGGGGAAAACTGATAAATAATGTTAAGAAATGTTTCACGTTCCGGATTTTTCTTCTCATTTTTTTTTTTATTTTAATTAAATCGTTTTGCGAGCGTTGGGAATAAAAAAAATTAAGGAGAGAGTCAGAGAGGAAATAAAGTAAAATGAAAACCGAATTGAAAGTTTATGTCAGCGAAAAATGGCGGTTCTATCTGTTAGTGTGAGTGTGTGAGTGTGTTTGTGTGTGTGTGTATGTGTGTGTATGTGTGTGTATGTGTGTGCGTAACACAACGTCAAATATGTTTGAACAACTTTATTATGCAAAATGCCAAACATTCTCCAACTTGTAGACGTGGCTCTCGCTCGCTTCGCTCTTTTATTTGTTCTTCCCCCCCTTTATTTTTTTCTTCCTGCATCTGCGAGTGTGTGTGTGAGGGGGTGTGTGTGGGGAGGTGTGCGAGTGTGCGCGCAAATCTCATTTGAATTATAATGATGACGCCACGCACACACAAACACACACACACGGGGCAGAGAAAAAGCGAAATTTATGGAAGGGTTTCGCCTTTTGGTTTTATTTTTTTTTGGTATACGAATAATAAAATATCCTTGATGAAGGCAAAAATGTAACAATAAATCGGGTGATTCGATATATTATTGATTAACGCAAAAGTTATCGAAACGATATCGATTTATCAATATTATGCATCGTTAATCTTCAATTTACATTCAAATAAAGCTACAAAATTTCCCAAAAAGAACCATCTTAACTTGACAAATGTGCAGGGTACTTTTTTGCACAGGTGGCAAACCCCACCTGATGGACCCGCAGCTTTGGCCGATTTAGCGTTCGCAATGTGCCAAGTACAGTGCGGTACATACCTGAACATGCTTGCGGCGGCAGTGGGAATATCAGCGTGGTGGAGCTCTTCCGCCTGGCGACCGCGCAGCCCAGCGATTGTGGCTTGAAGCTACGCAGCTGCTGCATAAAGTCGGAGCACTCCATCAGGGCCACGTCCGCGAAGTGCAGGTCGCACAGGATCTGGTTCTGTTTAGGAAAAAAAAATATATGGGTTAAAAAGGGTTACACTTGAAAATATTATATAAAATATATTATAAAAGTTATGGTATTTTATTTCTTCCCATAAAACTCATTCTCTATTTTGTCTCAGTGCTGAAACTAAACACGAAGAAGCTATAGCTTTACGCTGGTATATGTTATATATATTTCCCTCTGTAAATGATTAATTTGGTTATATATATATATATATATATATTTTATGCCTCCACTTGTCCGGAGATGGAGTCCCTACTCCCCCACGTCATTTGCTCTGTAATGAGTCCAGCTTTATGGTTCTCGAAATGAGCAAATGCATTTCAAATGAGTTGACAGGGGAGGGAAAAAAAGCAACTCACAAAATCACTCATTTTTTGGCGTTCCCTTATTCACACTCAAGTTAAAAATGTATAGTGTTTTGGGAAATGTAAATAAACCCATAAATTTAGATATTAATTATGGATTTTTTTTGTATAGTTTAATAGCTTACCTTAAATCTCCTGGCCCGCTTCTGGTTGGGTCCAGTCAAGTTTAGGCCGCAGGAGTTGCATCGCAGACACTCCTCATGATAATGATTGTTGTCATATAGCGGCGAGGGTTCTGCAAAACGGAAAGGAGAGAATGGTTAAAAATTATGCCAGAGGAGGAGCGGGAGTGGAGTCCCCTTTTCATCCCAAAAAACATGGCCATTCATTTGCATGAACATAAGGGGGAAGGGGCACCAGCTGGCTCACGACTCAATTACAAACGGAAATGAGTTTCTAATACAAGCAAATTGCCAAAGGATGGAGGACATGAAATTGTTGCCTGTCGAGTTGATGAATGGCGCCAGAATGGCATACCCTACCAACCGCAGATAGTCTCAGCTGGTAAAGTCCACTTGGGAAATGTATAAATATATATATTCAACTATTAAAACAATGCTTCCACTCTCTCTCTCCCTCACTTATTTTTGATGTATGTTATAAATATTATTCTATAGGGCATTTGCTGCAGAGTATGTGTGTGTTTTTGGGTTGGGGTTTCCTTTTTTTGGAACCAGCAATCAAGTGGCTGTAATAATGAGCACGTGTGCCTGGCCGCCTGCTCTTGGCTGTGTCGACACCGGAAATCATAATTAAATGAATCAGGCAAGCGGAAACACATTATGAGCGCTGACAGGCCGAGTCATTGTCATAGCTGTCATCGTAGCCCAAAATTCGAATATATGTATGAATGTACTAGGCAGGAGGCAATCAGCAAATGTGATTCGCATTTCATTAGTTGGCCCAATCCACACTCCTCTTCCTGCCTCTCCATAGAAAAAGGTGGCACTTTGGCATTGTGTATCGTAAAGTCATTATGGTAGAGCTTTTGTGGCCATGTTTCAAGCGGCGTATACGTAATGTGCGATTAAGGACAATTGCCTCCGGATGCCACAGTGCGTATGAGTAATATTTATATCATTATTGTTCCCTTCTATTATTTTTCCAACTGTTGCTTTATTTAATTCAGGTTTCCTTCTTCTAAAAGTACCCTCAATTGGCTTTAGAAAGTCCTCTTAGCTCTTTCTTTCCTAATGGAGTCTTGATAAATGAGAGGAGATCGCGCAGAAGCGGCCCCCAAAAACTAATGCAATGAAAGTCAAGGACTGCAGCAGGAGCTGTCCAGGAGCTGGCAATTCGTTGCAGCAATCTGCATCTGCAATCTGCAATCAGCTTTCTGCCGCAAATTGCATTGTCAAAAGCAGGACAGGCAGGAAGTCAGGAATTAAAAGACCCAGAAACAGGTGGAAGAAGAAACTTTCAGTTCTTTTTTGGAAAGTAGGTGGGAGCCGGGAGCCAGGATACCTATGATTCATGAAGCAAAACTTTTGCTTTCACACTCTTCACAACACCAAGTTTAATGGGCCATTAAAATCAAAAGTGGAAAACTATTTACGCTGCTTGAGAATTTTAATCAGATGCCGCGGCGCTACAAAATTTGACTAATTGAAAAAGGACAAAATTGAGTCGCATTACTCTCCATATTTTATTGCCTTTGCCAAAGCTGACTTTACTATATACTTTTGCTGAGTTTTCCCACGACTTGGCTTGGGGGAGGACTTCTTCCTTTTCTCATTTGCTTTTATGACAGCTGCCGCATTGAAAAGTTTTGCATCTGCACTTTGCAGCTGCCTCTGGCTCTGGTCCTGGTCCTGGTCCTGGTTCTGGTCCTGGTTCTGGGTATAATATAAATTCATGACTTTGATAAATTACCAACTAATGACCCAAAAGAATGGCAAACTTCTGGTTTTTAGTGCAGAAATCAAGCGTTAACTTTTCAGGGACGGCGGCCTTAGCTATTTGGCTTTTATTGTGCGCTCTGTAAGGTCCTCCCCCCTTGTCCCGCCCATTTCGAAACAATAGCTGCTTAATGGGTCGTGACAGGCGCTCTCTTGGCCTCTTAACCCCCTCTACCCTCCCTTTTAACCCATGTTTCTGGCCACTATTTTGAATGGTTATATTCCCCATAATCCTCGTCATCTGAATGAGGGAGCACATGTTAATCAGCATTGAATATATATATATATATATATATAAATGTAGTTATATATAATGTATAAGCATTATAAAATCATTATGACCTTATGAAACTATATATTTTACTAAGGAGAGTGAGGTTACACTTGTTTAAGCGGATTTTTCCACTTATACATATATGTATGTTATGTATTATAAAATCTATTTAAGACCTTATGACACTGTATTTCTTCCCCCTTAAATAGGGAACGGTCACACTGGTTATTGCATTCAAGTAACTTCCAAATTGAAAATGCTAGAGAAAAATATAAGAAAAGGGAGCACAAAATGAAGCTGAAGAGGGAGCACGTAAAAGAAAAGTCGCTGAAAAGGGGGGTCTGTAAAAAGAGATAAATCCAGTGGCGTTGGCTGACAAGGGGGCTACTAGTGTGCAATGTGCACACTAACTTAATTGAGCGTAAATAATATTGGACCAGGGTGGCACATGAGCACAGCTTCTGCTGTACAGAGAAACCAGTCAACTTCACTGCACTTTCATTAAAGTGGCACAAGGAGAGGACGAGGAGAGAGTGTCCTGAGGATACTTTCGAAACCCCCCACGCAGGGCAAGTGCATTGCCCCTGCATTGGCCGCGGGCAACGGGAAACCCTTCGTTTGCAATCCTGTACTAATCAATTTTTTAACTTTCAATAAAGCCACAAAGCGTTTTCAAAATTTATTAATCGCAGCCCTGAGGAATTTTGAAAAAAATACTACTTAAGGCATTATGACACTAAATAATTGGAGCTTGAAAAGAGATACCATAGTTTTGCTGATTTTTTTTACACTTTTTTGCCTTTCTTTTGCTTGAATTCAGGCTTGGAAGAAGAAAATAATTAATTAATTACATTTTACAAAATGTAGATTGCCATAAATGATATTAATCAACACTAAATCTTTTAATAACTAATTTAAATTTAAAAGCTGAGTTGAGAACTGTATGACATTTGTCCATGAGACACTTTTTGGAAGAATTATGTTCCGGAGAGGAGCTTGTAGGTATTTTTAATTAATATGTTTCGCTATTTATATAATATCCTATTTTACTGGTCATAATTGTTAATTAAATTAAATAAACAGAAAGCACCTTTCTTTAAGCACTTGAAAACTATGTGCTTAAGCGTTATCTTTATACCAACTCTATCACTCTTTTGCCATAAACCGCATCTTGGCCAACTGTATATATATATATAGTGGCTATCATATCCCCCCATGGCGTTGGCCAATTAACGCTGACGGTCACCTGTCATTAGCCGTGCGAGAAGCACCATCGGTTTGTCGCATTTTGCTGATTATAATGCATGGCAATTAAATGGTAGCAGCATATCATTTTGTCCACAGAGCTGGGCTGCACTGGGCCAGGGGTCATTGAGGGTCAGCGGTGTGTACGTGTGCGTATTTATGGGTCAACCGGGAAAAGAAAGCCACCACAACTACCAAAGCAACACCACTACCCAACGGGGACACCAGGGAGCACACACATGCGATGTACTACAGGAGAAGGGGAGGAAAAATGGGGTGGTAACAGTCGGGGGGAGAGTTTGGAAAAGTGCAGCATTAGCGTGACTTTTTTACGACGCACAATGAGAAATCTGTCATATGGATCCCATGCTGCAGCTGTTTCAGTTGCCAGCTCAGCTCATCTTTTCGAAATCAATAATATAATATATTCAGCATCAAGTATACGCACTGTGTATCTCTTCTATGAGAGATTAAGAGCTACAAAATGTATAAATAATCCAAAAGAAAGCAGTTTTTGAATAAGTTTTTTCAAGACTGTAAAAGGATATATATACATTTTCCAGCCCCTTTCAGGAGTAGACTTTCCGCCAAATGGCTTTAAGGCTCAGTGCGCACACACCAAGTTGCGAATGAGTTGTGATTAATTTTTCTTCTTTTTGGGGAGCCACAAATTTGATTTATAAACATGAACCGGTCTGCCTCTCTCTCTCTCCCCTCAACACTTGTTGAGTTCGGAAAATGTGCGAGTTGCGTGCCAGACGAGGATAATCGTTAATGGATCGAGTCACACATGTCCAGGTCCTCGAAGGATTTATATATATTAGGGGTAGAGAACAGGGGCATTATATATATATTATAAAACTCTGATTTCCACAATCATAAATTTCTAGCAAATATTTCCGGTCCTTTTTTGTTAAAAAACTTAAATGGAAAATTTGTGGAAACTAAATTCCTTGCTCCCCAGACAGGAATTAGCCGGGTACCTTCTTCTTGGCATTCCCTCAGCTGTCGAAGGATAACAACAAGGAGACGTGTGAATCTATCCCTATCCGTAACCGTATCTAACCTTCGCCCCAGGAGGCAGCAATTTACATAAAAACTTTCCCGGAAAAAGTGTGGAAAAAGTGGAAAAAGCGTATGCGAAGTATGTAGATTTTCTTCCTTATTTTTTTTTTGGCACTAAAGTGCAACAAAAGTTAATTCAGTTTTGAAATGGTTTGCGAGCGTGCAAGTTTACCCATATCCCAACCAGCACACACCACGCACACTCCCCTCTTTACCATCAGACAAAGGGATGTGTGTGTGTGTGCGTGTGAAAATCTTTTTCTTTTTTTTTCTAGGGGAAAAACTTGATCAAAACTTTTTTATTTCAGTCAGCTCCCTTTGTCCCGTTTTGTATCATCTTCCTTATTATATATATATATATATTCTTCTTGCTTTTCTATTTTCCGTGTACATTTCTTGTGTCGTTTTTTTGGAAGCTGCGTGCCAGGTCCTGGCCATTATCCTCACATCCCCGCTCAATCAATGTCAAATGCTCTGTGGTTCGTCCTTCGTCCTCGTTCCTGTTGCCGCAGTTAAATCAGTTGGAATTTTATTGAGTAAACTGTTTTGTAATTATTTTCGTCATGACGATGCCACCACGTCATGCTGCTGCTGCCACACATCCTTGCCATCCAATTAGCAAAGGAGCGACAACATGTTGCGGTCCCACCAGTCTCGGTGTCTCCCTTGGTCCCCCTTCGCGGGGCGAGGATTCGGGTTGGAAAATTGGTCTGCGCTGACAGGCATTAAGTAAAACGAGATTTCTCTGTTTGA